TTAATCTAAGTATTTCCACATGGTCTCATCTTACTGGAGAGGGGTTGGTGTTGTGCTTTCTCCAGTATCTCCATGTTGACTCCTCCCTCCTACTTCCTCTCTCTTTGTCTCCTAGTCCCGCCTATCTTGCTTTCCTATTGGCCAGCAGTGCTTTATTCATTAACCAGTATGAGAAACATATTTACAGAATGCCATCTCCCATCACACACCCATTTCATCTTTTAGTGCTCTGTTTGTCCCACTTCTCCTTTTCTCCCAACACTCTCCTAAGAATTCCTACTGTTTTTCTCTTTCTAGAAGTAATTCTATAGGCACAGTTACTAAATTGAACTTTTAGCATCTGTTCTTTCTTAATGTGTATCATTTCCTTTATTAAATGTATTTCCCTTTATAAGTTACACTGAAGCACTCAGATGAAGTGAACCCGTGTGTGGTTGTGATAAGTTGTTCAGTAGACATGTGAGAGGGCGTGGTACTGAGGAGTGTTGCTCATTGTTGAGGATTCCTGTACAGTCCTGCCTCCTGTTGAGAAAGCCCAACTGATTACCATAAACCCTTGAATGTCTCTAAGTATCAGATCCTTGGTGACTTGATTTAAATAATTTTTTTTAAAAAGCTTCTTATAGTTAGGCATTACTCTGCCTGTCATGTTAGAGTCTTAATATAACCGCAGATCCCACTTGTCAAGAGCCTTGCTTAATACAGTGTTAACTTCCTTGTAACCTGCAGTTTTAAATTCTTAAGACTCGCTGCATATGAATTCATTTACTTGAGTATTAATTAAGCAAATTGGGGAGGAAGAAAAACTTCTCTTTTAATTCTAGAAGGGAATTTGAGAAACTGGTTTGGGAAGGTATTTTGTGGTAGAGGAGAGTGTAAATGAGTCATCCGAGTGGCTTAGGAGTATGTATACACAAGAAGGCATGATCTGTATGAGTTGTATTACAAAAATACAGGTTTTGATCTTGTCTCAGAAGCTTCAGGACAATACAAAATCTATAGTTCTTGTTCCAGTTTTACTTTATCTGACAACTAGCTATACCTAGGAAAAACAGAAATATAGTAAGCAAGCTAAGCATAATAAAACCTTGAAGGATAGCATGCCGTAAATATATTAACAAACATGTTCTGGACATAGCACTATTTTCTAGAAATTCAAAGATGAATAGGACATGACCCCTGCTCTCTCAAACTCCCAGTGTGAGAGAAGAGACAGTGGGTGTTCAGTGAGAAAGTGCAGACAGTGAGATGTCAGCATGTAGAGAGAGCAATAGAAATATAGAAGGACAGAACCTAGCATGCCCTGGCTTGGGGTGTGAGGAAAGGCAAGCTCAGGAGGGGCTTGTGGAGATGGCTAAGCTCTTTCATACCAGATTACATACTGCCTATTTAAATAGTTTTTCTTAGAATCTTTGTAAAATGTTTTCCATTTCCATACCTTCTTAACCTTTTTTGTTTTGATGATTTGGCATAATTGTGTGTTATCAGTTATTTAAGTCATATAGCAAAATAGCAGTGTTTTTGTTGCAATAATATAACATTAATTTCCATTCTCTGAAACAGTGTCCAATGTCTGTGACTGTGCTGTCATCATTTTCCATCTTGTTGTCTTTGTATGTTCCTTATCTTCTTAAAGCCAGTGTGACTCTCCCTGTAGAGTACCGCATGTACTCAAACGCTTTCCTGGCCAAAGGACTTAGAACTAAACAAATGAATACAGCAAAATGCAAAGCAACCTGTTGAGTATTAACATGTGAAGTTTAGTGGATTTTATGACAACTTTTAAACAATTAAGTTGTCCTTTTTGTCATTATTGTTCTAAAGCCAGTAGCTGCTTTACAGATGCATCTCTTTCATCGGAGGCTTGGCTTTCATCAGGGCAGGTTCGGGGTAGAGGTGTAAGCCTAACAGCAGAATAGTTCCACTCTGTAAAATCAGCAGTTCTCCAGTAGAGAGTTACAGCAGAATCGTTTGGAGACGCATATGCCTGGACCTCACCCTCCCCCTGCCCCCAAAGAACCTGATTCTGCTCTCTTGGATTTTCTTCTTCTCCTCCTCCTCCTCTTTGTCCTTCTTCTTCTTTCTCTTCCTTTTCTTCCTTCCTCTTCTTCCTCTTCCTCTTCTTCTTCCTCTTCTTCTTCTTTGGAAGGGAGGGAAGGAATACCGACATGTAGAGAGTCAAAAAGTCCCACATAGCCAAGGACAACTTCAAATGCATAATCCTCCAGCCTCAACCTCTCAAGTGCTAAGATTATAGGTGTACAACCCACCTGGCTCTATATACTAATTTTTAAGTTCCTTTGAGAAGTCTGATGTCTACTATCCTTGAATCATCATACATCTGGTTACTGTTTGTCAGGATAGTTCCTAAATAGTAAAATAGGCAATAAAAGTCTAGATCATGAGGAATCGAAGGAGACCTTGAAATTTATTGGGCTGAGAAAGCATAAGGTTGAGATTATTCCTTCTAACTACTTTGTGAAAAACATATTGGTGGAGGAATGCTTCTAGTAGAGAAACTGGCTAAGAGACTATGTTAGTGAATTAATTCAGGCAAAGAAGTAAACATCTCCCTAAAAGGTGATAGTTAAGGTTGTGATCAAAGAACAGAGTTTGCTGACAGAGCAATTGTGTAGTGGGGAAGGAATCCAAGTTTACTCCTAATGTTTTGACTCAATTTATTGGAAAGATATCTCAACAAAAGGATTGCCCTTTGTTAAAACTGTAAAACTTGGTAGAGGAATAGGTTTGAGAAGAAGACAAGGATATCTTTTTTTTTTTTTTTTAATAGATTAACTCTGAAATACCCATTAGACATCTCTAGTGGTCACCTGCTTAATGTGGTAGTCTAAAACTCCCAGGATTTTCAAAAATTTTTGATTCATCAACATATGTAAATTCATAAGTGTAGATGAAATTTCCCAAGAGCAGGAATTGGCAGAGAAGAAATAGAATAGGACACTACAGCGGCAGAGGTGAGAGGAATAAGGAGAAGCTAAGTGACCCTGAAAAAGACCAGTCAATAGATGGGAGGAACCCACAGAGCATGGTGTCACAGACGCTAAGTGAAGAAAGGTTGCAAAGCCCAGGCGGTAACTAAGAGCTGGAAGAAGATGGAAACTCACTCAAACTCACTCCACCATTGGCATTAGCAACTGTGGAGATGATTGGTAATCTTTTTGTTGTTGTTGTTGTTGTTTGTTTGTTTTGTTTTGCTTTGTTTTTTTGAAGCAGAGTTTCTCTTGTGTAGCTCTGTAGCCTAGGCTGGCCTCAAACTCACAGAGATCTTCCTGCCTCTGCCTCCCCAGGGCAGGGATTAAAGGCATGTGCTACCATGACCTGGCTGATAATTGGTAATCTTGACCAGAAATAGTTAAAAAGAGAGATCATGTGAAGGCCATATAAAAAGGAATTCTAAAGAGAATGTGATTCCATGGCACCTGATGCCCTCTTCTGACCTCTGGGTACCAGGCATGTACATGGTACACATACATACATGGAGGCAAAACACTTGGGCACATAAAACTAAATAAATATTTGACAAAGGGAATGTGAGGGCCAATAAGATTGCACAGCATGTAAAGTGCTTGCTGCCAAACCTGGTGACCTGAGTTTGATCTCTGGAACCCACTCTGTAGAAGGAGAAAACTGACTTACACAGGTTGTTCTCTGACTACCACATGTACATCACACTATGTGCCTCCCAATTTTTATATTTATATTCATATATATATATATATGCATGAAAAAGTATAGCATCTTCTAGTCATAAGCTGCACCATGAAATCTCAACAATTTAAACAAGATCTACATAAAGTCACAGTTGACATGCCAATGTGGAAGGAGGAAGTCTCACAAGGTCCCACGCCTGGATAAAGAGGTACAGATAATTAATGGTCAACCCTAAACATATCTACATACAGAAACACTAAATAGACTCAGTAGAATGTATGTATACACACACAGACACACACAATAATAATTGCATAAATTTGAAAAGGAGTTGTGGAGTTGGAGGGCAGAAGGGGAGAAGGAAGGATGGAAATGTTGTAAATACAGTACTCGTGTATTAAGTTTTCAAAAAAGAAAACGTTTTTAAAAAGTGAGGAAAAATAGAGCTGGAAATAGATAACTTTTTGGAGGCTTTTTCTAAGAAAATGAACAGAGAAACAGCACGATAGCTGAAGAAGATGAGGCATATTTGTATGTTGTTGAGAATTATCCAGCAGAGGAAAAAAATGCCATGCTAGAGAGCAGGAAGAATGGTGTGACTGCATTTCTGCGTGATGAAATGGGATGGAATTTACAGCACAGAGGATTCAGACTTAGCCTTAGGTGCACAGACAGCCTAAGGTAATAGCAGATGGAAAGTAATCCTATGGGCATACATTCAAGGGGGGAGAAAAGGCAAGCAGAGGAAGTTCTTCTTTTATTATTATTACTCTAGCCTAGGAAACTGTGTTACCTCTTTTTGAGCCTAGAGAAAAGATACTAGAATTTTCAAAAAGACGTGGAAAGTATAAAAATTATTATGAGGGAGAGGGGAGTGGACAGCAGAATTGATGGGAGCATGACTCCAGGGACACACTTGAAATAGAAAAGAACTCAGTCTGCTAGGATGTAGTTTTCTGAGCTGCACATTCAGGAAGCTGAATTCCAGGGACAGAGTAGAGGAAGAAGAGCCTGTGGCCAGGATTGGGGTTTTGTCACATGAATGTGGCTAAGAAAGATAGTAAAAGAATGGGTCATGGGATTTGTGCTTAGTGGGAAAAGAACTAAAACTCTGAACGCAGGAAGGGAATTGTCCAAAGATGTTCCCGTCAAATACAGGGTCCAAAGGGTGAAAGACTTGAGTGGGAACAGTCAGGAGCGGGCATGAAAGCTAGGAGGAGGTGGTAATCAGAGGGCAGGGGCTGAGAGGAATGGCGTTGCTTCTAACTGAATAGGGGTGCTCACCAGTTGTATGGAGGCTTTAATGAGTATTTTAATTAATCTATTAGGTTCATGACTACAAAGAAGGAACCCCAGAAGAGAAGACCTACTATATAGAATTATGGGATGTTGGAGGCTCTGTGGGCAGTGCCAGCAGTGTGAAAAGCACAAGAGCAGTGTTCTACAACTCTGTCAATGGTAAATTCTTTTCATTTCTGCCATGTTGTAATGGTCTATGAGTGTGGACTATCTGAAATGAAGCGACATGGCATGCTGGGTTTATCTCACTATGAGAAAGCTGATGTGCTTAAACTCTTGATTTAAATCTGCATTTCGTAGTCTAATTTTTTGTTAGCCTCCATTGTCTAGCTGGGACATTGTTGCCTTGCTATAAAGTTACTCCATTTTTATCTTTTTGTGTATATGTGTATAATATATTCATTTCAGAAGCTCAACAGTAGTAATTTTCCATATATCTTTTACAGGTCTTTAGTGATATTTATCCCTCTCTGTACTGTTTCCTCAACCCTGATCTTCCACCCCAACTCAAGTTTAACTCTTCTTTTTTCCATTCTTCCCTTTTAACTCTTAATGCTGGTTCAATCTATCTCATCTCCCTTTAAACCCCTGCCCCCATGACCCCTTAGTAATTTCCCGGCCTCTGTAGGTATTCCAGATGAACTGTATCTGAAAATAAGTACCCTTTCTGTCTTCTCAGTCTGGTGACCCAGGCTACTGTTATCAGTAGAAAGCCTATGAAGTGTCTCCCTAGCCCCCTTAAGTTAGAATATATTCTCATCAGACATCAGTGTGACTCTGTCAGTTGGCCCTAACACTTCAGCTTAAATGAAAAAAGTCTGTGCTCTTAACCACTGAGCCATCTCTGCAGCCCACATTCCTACTTTACTTTGTCCTCTTACTCTTCTAATGGCATGTTTCTTCTAATTGAAATGAGATTGGGCATATCCACAGCAGTATACCTAAATCAGTTCATTCTCCCTCCCTCCTTGTACTTACTGAGCTTGTCCTTGTTGATCGTAAGATAAGAGGCGCTGATGAGTACTGACATTTTACCTGTTTATTTTAGGTATTATTTTAGTACATGACTTAACAAATAAGAAGTCATCTCAAAACTTATATCGATGGTCATTGGAAGTTCTGAATAGAGATTTGGTTCCAACTGGAGTCCTGGTGACAAATGGGTAAGCCTGGAAATACTTTACAATTGGTTATAAATGTGATTGCAATTCTCAAAATTCACTTTACAAAATAAAACTTGGGAAAGTGTGTGATTGGTTCTATATTTTAGCCTATACATAGTCTTTCTATTATCTGAATGGCATCTTTCATGGCAGTGGTTTTATTTTGATGAAATCTAATTACTTAAGTTTTCCTACTCTAGATTTTGCTCATATCTAAGAACTGTTATCTTAATCTCAGATGACACAGATTTTCTTCTGTGTGTTCTTTCTATACGTTTTATAATTTGGGGTTTATATTAGATTTATAATCTGCTCTAATTTTATATAATATGTGTGATTTGGGCTTATCAATTTAAAATTCAAATGTCACTTGTTCCATCATCAATTGTTAAAGAGTATCCTATCTCCATTGAGTAGCCTTCATTCCTATGACAAAGTTGGTTGACCATATTTATCCAGGTCAACTTCTGTACTCTGTGCTATTGATCTATGTATCTACTCCCTTTGAAGCCATGAGCCTATGTAAATATTTCCTCCTTAGAATTCTGACGCTGTAACTTAGTAGAACCATTCCCTAGCATGCACAAGGTCCTAAGTTCAATCCTTAGCGCCATTTTAAAGAATAAAACATCAACATTGAAAGCCTTATTGTGTCTTTTAAATATATTTCTTGGATCTTAAATCTTCTTTCAATGATAGCTATAGTGTTGAAGAATGCATAATTGTTTTTTTTTTCTCAAAGGGTTATTGTGTGTATAAAACGATATGGGTTTTAGGGGAAAGTGCTAGCCATTTATGTCTATAATAAAATTCTCCATCAGTTTTTCACAAAATGATTTTAAAATGATTTCAAGATCTAATTTCAGTTGGATGATAATTTTTATGAAAGAGGCAATAAGAAACAAAATCAATGTGTTATAATTTAAGTGATGAATCACTATATACATTTATGGTTCAGTGACTATAGTTCTTGAAAAAAATGAAAAGCTGAAAGGAAAGTTGAGAGAGCAAGATACATATACTTACATGGTTATCAACAAGAGATTATATAAGAGTCCAAATAGTAGAGAGTATGTGTCAAAAATAGTGTCTGATAGAAAACACAAACTTCCCATGAGAGAATTTGTGAGTATAAGAAAAGAAATTAACCCTGAAGGAAGGTACTCCAAAAACTTTGTTTTCTAATAATTCAACTTTCAGTTCAATCCATGTCTCCTGAGTCAGATATGCAGGTAAGAAGGTGCTGGTGTTTAGGCCTTGAACTTGAGCTATTATTGGCTTCTGTGCACATAAAGCGATGGTGATACTTATATGAGATGGGTTCCATAGTTCAAACCAACTGTGTTCTGAGATGGAATTATAGCTGAGATCATTGTGAAGGAGGAAGAGCTATAGTAACCCTCTCTTCCCATCCCAGTTTAGATTGTTCAGAAAGAAGGAAAGGGGGTAGGAAAGAGAAGGAGCGTGAAGCTGTGCTCCAGTGGATGTTATTGACTGGATTATGCAGTATTGATTGTTCAAAAGCAGATTTTGCTGACCGTTGTAAATAGAGCTTATAACGTGCCAGAAATCCAGATCTACTTTGCTTCTAGTAGGTGAATAGAATTTCAATTAATTAACAACAATGGATTTTATGTTCCTTTCACTAATGAGAACTATCATTCGTATTGCTACTCAGTCCTTTGGGGAAAATGAAATAAAATGAGTTATAGTAGACCCCCTTCTATCCCTGAGAGATTCTGATGGTCATTTTTTTTTCTCTCTCTCATGGCTGTCACGTTAGGACAATTATTTGGTGCTAATTTTTTGGCCCTTTATTATTACAGTTAACATTTCAGCTGTTTTCCTTCCACTCCCATTCAAAGCTGAGGTCTCACTCCGGCTCTCTTTACTCTAGCCTATAGCTTCTCTACTTCTTTTTACTCTGAAAGATTTTTATTTATTTATTTTTTTAACACCTCATAGCTGGGAATCGATATGCAAGCTAGAGAATTTGTGCATGAAATACCTGCAGTACATGTTAGGCTCTTGGGTTTCCATATGCTGAGCTTTAAATCCACTTTCTGCTTCTACACTGGAAAATTTTGAAGCTGATACCTGTTGAAGACAGAGCGTTGGGGACAGTTAAGTCACATTAGGCCTTCAATGGCCCAAGTTATCTGTTAGAAAGACACACAGGAACAGACATTGAGTAATAAGTAATTGGAATTCAGTAGAAGATGTATTGATGATGAATAAGCACAGGGAAGAAATTAGGAGATAAAAGATTTCTAGGCGATGATGGATAGGAATTAGTTAATTATCACTACAATTGTGTAAGCATCTTGCATTTAAATACTATACATCGGAAAGTTAAATCCTATTCACCTCTTCATGGTTATTTATCACAGGGATTATGACCGAGAACAATTTGCTGATAATCAAATCCCACTATTGGTAATAGGGACTAAACTGGACCAGATTCATGAAACCAAGCGCCATGAAGTTTTAATTAGGACTGCTTTCTTGGCTGAGGACTTCAATGCTGAAGAGATTAATTTGGTATGTGTTTTCACTAATGTGTGTCTGGGTTATGTTCTAGTCATAGAAGCTTTACACTCAAAGCAGAAGCTCACCAAACACAAAGGAGGTCCGAGTCTAGACTATGACACGAGGGTCTCTTTCCCTTTGAACTTGCACATTAATTGCTGGAATCTGCAGACTATGGTCGTTGAAGAGTACAAATCTTTCCTGAGAAAGTTTCAAAACCTATCAAATTCAAAAGAATCATATCAATTAAGGTGACACTGTATGTTGATTATTTTTGCTTTTGAAAAAGCCTCTTAATCCCAGCAGTTGGGAGGCAGAGGCAGGAAGATCTCTGAGTTTGAGGCCAGCTTGGTCTACAGGGCGAGTTCCAGGACAGCCAGGGTTATACAGTGAAACCCTGTCTTGAAAAACCAAAAAGGGGGGAAAAAGAGAACATGCCTCTCAGCAGCTTACATCACGGAAGGGCACACAAACAGATGTACAAGAAAATTACAAACTATAAACTAGGAGTGCATCATAAAGAGTTATTTATATACAGTTCTGCATATCCAACCTGGCTGTAATAGCTAGTTTAATAAGAACAGGGGGCTGGCGAGGCTAGGAAACAGAGCTCGTATAAACCAGTTCACATTACCCAGAAAATGACCTGATCTGCAGGTTCAGTGATGGTCATACTTCATCATCATTCATAGGCAGGGTAGCAGTCATCCCAGGTGTGTAGTGTTGACTATCGAGAGTACCGACGGCCAGCACTCTTAAAGCAGTTATTCACCTAATACTGTTTTAAGGCTTTACAGATATCATGCCACACATACCGTCTCCATATCAACCTTTACCTTAAGACCCTCTGACCTCCATTTTAAAAATGAAGATAAGAATAACATGTAATCAAGCCAAATAAGGCACTCTGACTGTTGAGCTTGGGTTCTATAGTTAAGCCTAGTTCTCACCTGATTATCCTTCAACTAAGATTTAAAATGTTGGCTCCAAAAGAACTCTGAAATCAGCTATACCAACAGTTACCCAAAGCTCGCTGCATATCATTACTAGCAGTGCCTGTGGATGTCTTCATACCCTTCAGGTTAGAACTTTGTGTCCATGGTGCTGGCAGGAGCAGTACCCTGCTAATGGTTTGTCTGTGTATTGTGGTGCTGGGCCGCATACAAGAGAAACATAGACTTTCCTGCTGACTTACAGCCTCTGCCAGTGCTGTCACTTGATAGATTGCCTAGTGAGTCAGCATCTATAAATACTGCCTCTACTCCATGTCTGACTCAGCTTCTGCCTGCCATCCATTGTTTTTCTATTTTATTGTGCAGTGGAATGTGTCCGCTTTTCTGTAGCTGCCACTGTGGAACTCTCAATGTAAACATCCTAGGTAGTCAATGCTGGACCATAGTATTCCAGAGAGTCCCTACTGTATAAATTATAGAAATATGTTATCTTGTAGAATTAGTGCTGATGTTACTTTATTTGCACGTTATTTTCAAAGGGAAATTTACCATTAAATGCACACAATTTGTTCCAATAGTAACTTTACTGTGCTTCTGAATATGTCTTTGTCTAGTGCCTACTGGTTTCTGTGACAGCCAGCTAGACACTTATTATCTCTCCTTAGCCTACAAAGGCTAGACCACCTTCAGTTGTTGGCAAAACAAAAAGATAAGCAGTAGGACTTCAACACTTATAATCTCCCAAGAATTTAAGTATAACATGCCTTTAGTTTGTGTATCCTTCAAGAACACAACGGAAACAATATAGAATTGGGCAATGAGGATACAAGGAGTTAATGTACAAGAGGGCAGCTGAATATGGGAATTAAAAATAGAAATCAACAAGTAACTGTAAAACCTCAGACTGGGACTAATGTGACAACATTAGTACTAGCTCACTGTTTCTTGTATGAATTTACTTAAACCTATGGAGAAGTATGAATCTAACATACACCTATGGGAAGTGAAGTCAGAATTGCCTTCTGTGGATACAAATGCGAGTTATTTGAATAAAGATGGGTGCTAGGGTTGTTGTGTGTGGTAATTTTTCTCATGTGTGTCTATTTAGTATATAGTTATTTTCCACTTCAGACAAGCTATTTAGAGCTATTAATTTTCAGACTTTCCCTCAGCCATGATCAATGACTGATGGCTCTTTCAACTCCAAAATGTTTACCCAAAAATGCATGGAGTTTCAGATTTCCTGCTAAACCTGAATTGTGGAGCCCAATAGTCAATTTTTTTGGGGGGGGTTGGAAGGGGGTTGAGACAGGATTTCTCTGTGTAGCTTTGGAACCTGTGCTGGCACTCACTCTGTGGACCAGGCTGGCCTTGAACACACAGAGATCTGCCTGCCTCCCAAAGGCATGTGCCACCACCTGCCAACTCCAATAGTCAATTTTTATGGAGAAGTTGGGAACTTGTTTGTTTGCTGTTTGATTTAGGGTTTGTTTTTTTGTTGTTGTTTGTTTGTTTTGTTTTGTTTTTTTGTTGTTGTTTTTTTGTTTTGTTTTGTTTTTAGTAATTTTAACTCGCATTTAGAGTTATCATTTAATGTTTTAATGTTCTGATGATGTAATCAATACCCATTTTGCAAAAACATCTAGTATAGGTCTAAGGTTGATTTCTTGTTTGTCCCAACTGGTACAGAATTGTATTCAAAAATGTATTGCAAATACAGCAGTGTGCACAGTGATACACTAAGGTATTTAATTTACATGTGGGATTGTGTATATTATATTAAATGGTTTATACTTGAAAGTTCAACAGGGGTGGGGGGTAGACAGGAAGTAGGGAGAGGGAACAGGAAGAAAGGAGGGAGGGGAAATTGGTTGGCATGTAAAACAAATGAAAATTTTTAATTTAAAAAGAAAAAAGAAAACTGATACGTTTAGAATATTTATTATTTCCAAAAAAAAAAAGTCAATCTGCTATCATTTACTTACAGTAATGAAGAGAAATAATATTCCCGTGTCTGCTGTGTGACAGGCATGCAATATCTCATTGAATCTCACAAAACTGAGCAGATTCGTCCCCATTTCACAAATAAGTAAGCCCAACTTTAGAGCAATAGTGACTTAAGCAGGTTACACACTCTGGAAGTGTTAGCACATTCATTTCCAGAAATTACTGGCTTCTTCCTCCATTCCTGATTTCCTTAGTATTTTATGATCTTTGAAAACTGTTACAATTATAGTCAGCCAGCTTCCCCCTTTCCCTCCTGCCCACTCCCTTTTTCTTTGTGTATGTTGCAGGAGTGGGCAGAGAACTATTATAGTTTCTGGCCATTGTCTAAAATGTGATCCTTGAAATGCTGTGTATGAACAAAACAAGAAATTGCTTCTGAATGTATTAGAAGGAAACATGTGGGCCTGGCTGTTACAAAACAGCATTATTAAATATAGCAAGAGTAATTTCAGAACTTTCTCAAGGGCACAGAGGGCTCACAGATTTTTAGAAGACACTTACCTTCACAAAAGAGCCTGAATGGTCTCTGTACAGTTTGGTGTTGGTGGCATTTGAGGTAAACATCAAAGCCTACTCCATCTCTTAAGAGAGCCCGCACTGGTGACAAGCAAAGGTGGTATAATACCGGCATTTGCAAACTGTTATAATGACTTAGTGTCCCGCCATGTTTTCCTATTTAAAGACTCTTACTGAATAATAATAATAATAATAAAATCTCTTGCTTATTATTATCAGGTCCTGTATGTCTTTGTGATATATATGAAGAAATGGAGAAATCTTGGCATCCATTTGTTCTTTGGCCCACTAAATCTCATTTTCATGTTTCCAACTATTATGCAGCCTGCACAGTACTTAATTAGTTGAACACTTAGTTCCTGGCCTTAAATATGTCCTGTTTGTAATGATTCTATTTCTGGTTTTCAGAGTAAACATATGGAGGTCACCTCATCAGTCCCTTTGTTTTGCTAGTAATTCTGCTCCCTTCAGGGGTTATTGATGATGAGTGTGTTGATTCAGTGCCCTCCAGTATGGCTCACATGGCAAAGACTAAAGGGCTTAACCTTGTTTGGTGCTTTCCTGTTCTTTGCGCATCATAATCTGAATATTGCCTTCCAGTTTATGAGGGTTGTGATGCTGTAGTATTAGAACGGTACAATGGGAATAGTTACACCGGAGCTTCACTGCCTGGCTTTTCTGTATGCCCCTTTGTTTTCCAGGATTGCACAAACCCACGGTCCTCAGCTGCAGGCTCCTCCAATGCTGTCAAGCTCAGTAGATTTTTTGATAAGGTAATGGCTTCAATTAAGTTATTTTTAAACTTAACATATGATAGCTTAAACTCTTTGTAAAATGCTGTGTCCTTTTGTTCCTTTGCCCAAGACTTCACAGCCTGAATACCTGTTTTGATCTCTCTTATCTGTTGGAATAATTGCTCAAGGCCTGCTGACGTCCTCATTCCATCACTGACGTTCTCTAAGCAAAGAGTAAAGGCTACTGGATTCAGTTAGGGTTCTTAAAAAGATACCAGAGTCCTCCTTAAAACAATTTATAGTTACCCTTTTTTTCAGCTCTTTGTGCAATTATTCACTACTCCATATCCCAGAAAGCACTGAACAGAGATTAAAGCCCTTTATTCTCCGAGCTATTAATATTTCCCATGTAAATGTTACTATTATTTTGTGAAGTTAAGCTGTCTCCTTGAATCTCTCTTGTTTCCCTATGAGAAGTGTCCCATTCCTAGTGTAGCACCGCCTCTCAATGAGCTAGAGTGAGAACGTGGTGTGGCTCAGCACCCTGGTAAGTTTGAGCAGTGTTCCTCTCCTCTCAGGGTTATGCAACTGCCTTGCATAGTGCTGATTTTGCATAACAAAGTAATACAGGACTTTTTTTTTTCTGCTTTCATTACTGAAAAGGATTAATTTCTGTATTAGATCTATTTTAAGTATGGTCTCTTAAGAAAAACACCTCAGTGCTGGAGAATATTCTCAGTGGTTAAGAGCGGTTGCTACTCCTGCAGAGGACCCAGATTCAGGTCCCAGAACCCACCTTGGGCTCATCGTAACCACCTGTAACTCCAGCACCAACAGATCCAATACCCACTTCAGGCCTCTGTATTGTACATACAGTTGAGCAGGTACACATGCACACAACACATATGCATATAAATAAAAATAAAATAAGAAAGACATTCCCCTTCTTACAGACCTTCCATGCGGATCATTTTTCTTTTAACTATTTGTTTCTAATATTTCTAATGTTTTAAATGTTTCTAATATTTCTAATATTTTCAATACATTACCATGAGGCTCAATCCCCTAAGTGTTCAGTAGGGAAGTTTTATCTCACTCACAACTTATTAACTGGCGTGTGGCAAAAGGGACAGATGTACACAGACACTGATTCTCACCATTCTCAGGTAGCCAACCCTTCAAGCTGGGGACTAGGAAATTGGCAGCTTCTGTTCACTCCCCTGGGCCGCACAGATAATAGCATGTTGGGGTGAAGTGGAGCAAGGACTAATATTTTTCTCCATCTTGTTTTCAAACCTAAAATGTTGCAGCATTTGCCTAATCTAGATCCAAGTCTGCATCTAATACAAAGTCCTATCCCTAAGAATAACATTCTGTCCATCTGGATTTGGTCTCATACTTTTAGATGTTTTGTTTGGTTTGATTTGATTTGGTTTATTGAGATAGGGCTGTCCTGGAACTTGATCTGTAGACCAGGCTGGCCTCGAACTCAGAGATCTGCCTGCCTCTGCCTTCTTAGTGCTGGGATTAAAGTTGTGTGATGCCACTGCCCAGCTTGTTTTAAGTGTTTTTTTTTTAATATTAAAAACTATAAGTCTCATCCTAGAGAAATAATGGATTTTACACTGTCATGAACTTAACTCTCAGCAATACTTTATTTCAGACAGAGAATCAGTCAGTCAGTCAGTCAGTACTTTGGTTGGATTTAAGAGAGGACCTTGTAAGTTGGGGGTGAAGAATTCTCAGCAAAAGAGAAAGTTGCCTTTATTGTCTAGGTCTCATAGAGTCTATCAGTAAGGAGATTGTCTGGTTTGCACAACATGTTCTAGATATGAAACCCAAACCTGGCAATAGTTTGCCCTTTTTCTGTGGATTAGACCTTCCAGAATGCCAAGGCTTCTTCTATTAGAGGGGTCTAAGTCCTCTGTATTCTCTCAGCTGGTAGTAATTCTACATTCTACAATAGAATAAGATTTTCCTATCCTGCTGAGAACTGGAAAAGACTCAGTACTTTGGGGGCTTGAGGGCTTGGTATTTCAATGTATTACTAACCAGAAACAAGCTTTTCTGCCTCAAAGGCCAATGGATGCGTCTTTGCCTTGGGTCTGTTGTGGCTTAAATACTAAGCCAGACATAGTCTCCAAGAGAGAAAGAGCCTGAATAGTTTGTTTTCACGTATTATGAGAAAGCTGTCCCAGGCCTGAAAGGACAGGCTGTGCTCTCAGTCAGCATCCTCAGCATCATCTCTCCAGATGTGAATGCCTTAGTCTGCCTGCACCTAATCTATAATCACATCCTCTCCTCCAGGACAGATGGAATTAGTATCTTATATAATAGTCTCCATCACCTGAAAGCATGCTTCTCACACCCACTGCATTAGAACGTGTTTTGTGAGCTTTTAGCAGCTGAAATGTTTTATGAAGATATATCCACTGCTTCAGCCTGTTCTCCCTGCCGACAAATGCAGTGAGCTTGGAGACTACTGAATAAGGGTGCCAGTGAAGCCCATACGGGAAGCCCATAGACTGCTTGATGGCATTGTACCATCGTCTGTATGCAGGATGCACAGAATCCCTCACACACATCCCTCTTGAAGATAGCTGCACTGCTTGGTGATTTGCATTGTCTTATGGATCCTTTGGAGCTGACTGCTAGGAAACGCAGCCCAGTTGCTGCCATATTCTAGGAACCTGTTGAAACATCATTCTGCCCTTATGTATTTTGATGTGCTATTTATTTGTGAGTTTTGTTTTCTTTTGAGGCAGGGTCTTACTACATAACCAAGACTTGTCTGAAACTCACTAAGTTGCACAGACTAGTCTTGAACTCCTGATCCTCCTGCCTCTGCTCCCTGAGTGTTGGGACTGATTACAGAGTTTCACAGTTATAGGGTGTGCCACTGTATTCTGCTCATTGGTTGTTTGATATACCATTCCTTCCTTTTGGAATGAAGGCATTAGTGGAAATAATCTCACAGTTTCAATCCTTTAGCACCAGATTTTAAAGGTAGGTGTGTGTGTATGTGTCTCAGTGTGTTTGTCTGTGTGTTTTGTATGTTTGTATGTGTGTGTCTGTGTGTGTGTTTGTGTGTGTGTCTGTGTGTGTGTGAGTGTGTTTGTCTGTGTGTCTGTATATGTTCGTGTTTGTGTGTGTGTCTGTGTGTGTGTGAGTGTGTTTGTCTGTGTGTCTGTATATGTTCGTGTTTGTGTGTGTCTGTGTGTGTCTATTCTGTGTGTGTGTCTTATATGTGTGTCTGTGTGTGTTTGTGTGTATGTGTGTGTGTGTGTGTGTGTGTGTGTCTGTGTCTGTGTTTGAGTGAATGCCACATGTGTGTAAGTGCCTGCAGAAGCCGGCAGATGCTGTGTGATTCCCTGGGACTGGTTGCAGATGTTGGGAGCTGCCTAGTATGGGTTGTAGAAACTGAATTCCAGTCCTCTCAAAAAGCAACAAGTGCTCAGCTTCGGAGCCATTCCTCTAACCCCAGCACCAGATTTTTAGCTCATTATTAAATGTCTATAGCTGTTGAAAGGGGTTTTAATTTGGTAGTATTTTCTATAGTTAAATTAATGAACGTTATAATTAGTCACCTTTTTCAGGTAAATATGCTAATCCCTAAATAAAGTCTTTGCTTGTCTCTCACAGGTCATAGAGAAGAGGTACTTTTGTAGAGAAGGTAATCAGGTTGGTATCTATCTTTTCTGATAAAGTGGATTCTTAAATTTCGAAAGAGATGGTTTCCAATTTTTTTTTAACTTATGAGAAGCTCTTTGTAGGCACAGACACTTACTGTCAGTCGTTTTGAATACAAAAGGAAAAAACCCAGACAAAGGTGAAGTAAGAATCTGCAATACAAGAAGAATCCATGGACTAGGTGATAATGTAACACAAGGAAAGAAGATAATCAGCTTTGGTCTTCCAAGGTTTTTGTCTAGAGTCTTCCACAGTACAGACAATTTGTATAAAAGTCAGTTGGTGATTTGGGAGATTTGTCCTTTGTGACTCCAGATGGCACTGCCCCCAATTTGTTGGCAAATTTTTTCCATATTTATAGAGTTTCTTTTTATTATTTATCATTTTACAGCTCTCTGAGTGAAATCTTAGAGAGCTGGTTTTATAATGAGCAACAGGCTGGCCTACAGGAACCTGAAACAGGAAACAGTTCAGTTTTAACATATGCGTCTTTCTGCCTAGACTGTAACAGGACTCTTTCTTGCCTACAGATTCCAGGCTTTCCGGATCGGAAGAGGTTTGGAGGAGGGACCTTAAAGAATTTCCATTATGACTGAGTTGCACTCACCCTGTGGAGGAGTGATTGAGCAGTGGCAGCTTTCACAGCTTTCCTCTTGCTGTGGCAGGCTATTGACTTCTCAGGCTTTGATACAAACATCTCAAAATGCTACCTCACCCTCTCCTGGAAGACTGAAAGAAAGCAATGATGCAGAAGATCCTACTTTGCCCCTGTTCTCTGTGTTGCTTCCCTTCCTGTCTCCGTTGATAGCTTCTGTAAAAGCCTCATGAAGATATGAGATATTGCCAAAACAGTGCAGTAAACGAGGTGACAAGGACTGCAGAGAAAACTGACTCTTGCTTGAATCCAGGGGCCTTTATAGGTCTGTGATTTTCCCACACTCAATGCTGAAGACTTAATTAAGTACTTCAGAAATGTATCTGTGCTGTTTTACCTTCTTGAGGGGAAAGGTCGTGTTAACCAGCCCCGAATTATCCACCCCAAACCATCTCTGTCTTTTTTTAAGAAGCCAAGTGGTGTTATTTCATTTTCTCCAGCCTCATTACACACAGGGATGCCTAAGAATAGCAAGCCTGTCTCCTCTCCCCTGGAAAAGGCTTGGTGTCTGGCAGAGACGAACGAATAGCTGGAGTTAAATAGGAATACAAATTAATAATACATGGAGGATAGAGCAGAAAAGAAGGCTTCTGTGAGGCATCCACAGCTCCTCCACGCTAGGCTGCAGCTTTCCCAGGCTCTTTCTGCTTTCTCTTTAGAAATTGGGTGGACTCTGAGAGCAGCACAAGGGCGATAAGAGAGTTATTGCCTCTTAGGTGGTTTTTTCTTGTTGCTTGGTTTTGTTTTTTAAAGGAAATTGAACTCCTGAAATGACCCTTAATTTGATGAAGTAAACGAAGAATGTTATCCTTGAGTTCACAATGTATTTATGGGAAAGTCAAATAGCAAGGCATTCTCATAAGTTATGAACCAGTGTTCAGCATTTCATAATCACTCCACAGCTTTTTGATGGTGGTATGTATATGTTTGCATAATTAATCATCATTTTTTAGCCCATGTTTTTTGCCAGTTTAATTCTGTCACACCAGCTCTTCCTTGATTTATAAAATTGGTTGCAAAAAAAAAAGACTATAATTGGCTACTGTGTTCAACACCTTATTATCCATTCTTCTGTGCTGCAGCTCTCTGCTCTCTAGTTTTACTCAAAAAATTAAAGAGAGGAATATAAATACACAGTTGTAGTTCTTTTAAAACCAGGTAAGAACTACCAAGTTCATTTTCTGTTCATTTTCATTAAATTTCAAAAGATTCTGGAAGGCAGGGTGTGCTGGGAAGGTCTTGAGAAGCTCAGGACTGTTCCTGGGGACTGGAAGAACGCTTCTCCTGAGCCGGGCTGTTCTGTCTTTTCCTCCTCCCTGGAAAGACCAGGCCAGTGTTGGAGTCTTTGCTGGTTTGATTTTCTCTGATATAACTGGTGTTATGCAAATTATGATCTGTGTGTGGACTTTTGGCACAAATGACTGTCTGTAAAGTTGGGAAAGTAGAAGCCAAATGCTACACAAAGTCCTATCTAACCTATCTAAAACTCTTTGATTTCTCTTTTAAAATTAAATCAGGAGCATGGAATGCAACTTGGTGGTAGAGCATTTACCTAGCATGTGCAAGGCATTAGGTTTGTTTCCAATATCAAAAATTTTAATAAAATGTAACTAAGTTAAAATCCATTCCTTTTTGTCTCCTTTCTTTTTAATTAAGAAACTCACCCAAATTTCTCTCATTTCTTTCTTATTAAGAAATAAAAGAGTCAGGCAATGATGCACATCTTTGATCCCAGCACTCCAGAGCCAGAGGCAGGCAGATCTCCAAGTTCTAGGCCAGCCTGGTCTACAGAGCAAGTTCCAGGACACAAAGAAACCTTATCTCAAAAAACATAAAAGAGAGAGATGGAGAGAAGCAGGGAGGGGTTAAGAAAGAAAAGAGGGGGCTGAGCAAAGGGTAAGTGGTTGAAAGCACTTGTGCTCTTGCAAAGAACCTGGATTTGTTACCAGCACCCACAAGGGCAGTTTACATCCATCAATAACTCAATTCCAGGGATCCAGCACCTTCTTCAGACCTCTGTCAGCACTATGCATGTACACAGTGCATTTTTCATTCATAAAAGCAAAGCACTCATACATGTAAACTAAAAATAAATCTTATTTTAAAGGATGAGGGAATAAAAGCAACCCATCAGTGATGGTTACAAGGTCAGACTTGATAAATTAATAATATTCTTCAATCCCATTTCTTCTACCAGCTTGATTCCTTGAACCATAGTTTTTCTTTATAATGTTATACACTTTTTATTTAAAAAACTCATAAATAAAATAAGCATTACACACCCAAATTAATTTGACCCAAGGTCTCTATCTCTCAGTAAGCTTCAGTACAGTTAAAGTGGCCATTATGAAGCTGGGGAGTGTCACCCCGAGTTTCACACTTTTAATATATATATTGCATTTAGTTTTGAGCTGTAGTTTCCTAAGAAAAAATAAATTTTAATCTATCATCTGAAGTAAATGTGTTATAAGTATATGTAGCAGCAAATAAAGCCACTTAACAAATGAGTATCATTTTCAGACACCCTCAAAAGAATGAATGTTCTTGAAGCATGACTTTTAAAGACATATAGCATACTACTTGTGAACAACAATTTAATATAATACAAAGAATAAATTACTGTAACTGCTAGAATTCTCTTTTGACGTGTTGAGTCTTAATTATCTTACCTTGTTGATAATGCAAATTGCTAGTGTTGTGAGCAATTTCCCACCGCCTGGTCCCAGTGCGGCATCATTCCCAAAATAACACACGGAGACTCTATTAGTTATAAAGCTTTTGGCCAATGGCTAGAGCTTCTTATTGGCTAGCTCTGTCTTAAATGTTAACTCATTTCCATCCATCTATGTGTTTCCACATGGTCTTATCTTACCGGAGAAAGGGTCCGGACAGCTTCTATCACATCCTAAACCTTGACTCCTCTCTACTACATCTCCCAGAATTCTCGTTGTCTCCTAGTCCCACCTATCTTCTTTTTCTATTGGCCAATGGGACTTTATTCATTAACCAATAAGAGAAACATATATACAGAATGACATCTCCCATCATGCTAGTAATAGCTGTTATCTATTGTTGTTTTTCTCCCTGAATAACAGTTTTTGACCAATATTCTCATCCAGTGTAATGGGAACCAAATGTAAAAGCACTGAGGCATCCATTTGTGCTTTGGGTGGACAATTCCCTTACTTGGAACCTAACTGAAGATTTAGGTGGTCTCTCCACCTCAGTACCAATGGGGTGCAGACACGCTACTCCATCATACAATATCTGGGCATCTTAGAAAATGACAAAAAAAAAAAAAAATGTGAGGGTACTCATATCCCTCCTTATTCCTTCTCCACCAAAGCGAGTTGTAAAACTAGCAGCTTCTTCCATGAACCTGCTCAGAAAAACCTTTTTTCCACATGCCTACTTTTCATCCTGGGAGGAAGGAGCATCTATATCCTCAAAGATGGAGACATCAGGCAGAATCTGAGTGATTATGCCTTGTCGTTAGGCAAACCCTGCTTGTTTGAGGTTCAATCTGTATGTTTTTCTCTTGTTAATCTACCTGTTGTTGGTGCCTTCACCATGAATGAGAAAAGAAGATGTCTTCCCTTATCTTACCTTCCCTGGGGTGTTCATCTGTATAATCACTATTCTCTGTCCATTTTGAAATGGACTTCTTGGAACCAATGTCCTGGGCCATCAGACTGGAATGTGTTCTTAACTGCTGCCATTATCTTCATCTCAGTGGTGTGTGTTAGAACACTTAACACAGGTAGCTATATGTACAGATACTTAATAGATAGTGGTTTCCTTGAATTTTTAAAAGTACAGGTGACATCCTGTTCTAAAAAAACTGATGATTTCAGTGGGATTCCTGCATTGATTTAATACCTTAAAATTTAGAGACTAAGCATTGGGGGGGGGGGGCAAGAAAAGAAATGAGAAATGGATTTCTTCATAGTTGAAAGACAGCTAAATCACTGCACAGGAAGAAGGGTGCCAGGAAGTCTAACCCTGGACCTCAACTATCCCAGTGGAGATTGTCAGTTTGCCAGGACTATCCCATAGGATGACTTCTAGTTACAATGTATCCACATGTCCACCATGGGCCACCAATCAGTTGCTTTCAAACTGGGGGGATTTAAATTCAGATTCCAAGGTTTCATCCTTTTTCTTTCACAACACTTAATTCTATATTATGCAATAATGTAACATTTTGTAGTTTTGGATGTCTCTAATTTTCTTGTGTGTGGGGAGGGGATGGACGGGGGGGGGGGGGGTTGAGGGGCGGGAATCATGCCTGCAGAGGCCAGAAGACAGCATTAGATCCCTGGAGTGTAAGAAGTATGGTTTTTCCGCCCGCCACCAGTCTTGTCCCGCCGCCGCGCCAGCCCCAATTAACACGCAGAGACTCTGTATTTGATATAATTCTGTTGGCCAGGTACTAGTTTCTTATCGGCTAGCTCTGTATTAAGTATTAACCCATTTCTATGTATTTCCACGTGGTCTTCTTACTGGGGAAAGTGGCCAGCGTCTCGTCTCCCCAGTCTCTCCATCTTGGTTCCTCCTTCCTACTTCCTCTTTCCTCCTTGTCTCCTAGTCCCTCCTATCTTCCTTTCCTGTTGACCAGCAGTGCTTTATTCATTAACCAGTATGAGAAACATATACAGAATGACATCTCCCATCACTGGAGCTGTCATTACAGGTATATTCTTAACTACTAAGCATCTCTCTGGCCCCCAGATTTTATATATTTGACAGACAAACCAAGTGAACCCCAATGCAGGTGGTGAGGCTCCAGCCTTTCAGGAAGACAAATACACAGATTGTAAATCGTGTGCGTTTTGAGTACCACTGTAACAAAGCTTACCAACGTTCAACTTTAATCTCTCCTTAGTGATCTGGTACATTTCTCTCCCTCTTGAAGCCATGCCACCTACTGGTAAACCAGGAGATATTGACTTTAGTCTATTGTTATCACTCCTGGGGATGATGTTTTCTTACAAATACCTGTTTCTAGTCCAAGCTATTGCTAATCCATACTCTGCTGGCTGTTATAACACACCCCTTCTGTTGACAGTGTTTTGTTTCCTCAACTAACCAACTGCTAAGCTTTACCAAGTAGTGGTAGAAAACGCAGTCCCTGGCCAAGATGTAACAGCTTGCTCAGAACTGTCTCTTATTTGGAGATGTCTGTCCTGGAGCCCCCTGAGCTGTAAGGGTCATCCTGCAGTGGAGGCTTAGTGGGTCTGCCACACTGCAGACCCCCACCTTCCTGGAAGTTTTCCAATTTTGGGGGTGGGTGGGAAGGGGGTACCAGTGGTCTTAAAATGGATGAACACACACATCTCATCAATAGGTATGTAGGCACAGATCATTTTAAGGGACCCATTTTCCAGCTTGACTTCTGTGTTGTACCTTCAACAGAATTGACCTGCTTTATGAATGTAGCCCGCTGCTAGTTCTTTTATCCTCACTGGCAAACGAACAACTCATTGGCCTACAGTAGTACTGTGGTAGATTTCCAGATGCCAACAAAAGGACAGTTCTAAATAGTTACTTCCTTTAAGGACTTTG